GGGTCTTCCTCGGGGCCTCCTCCCGGTGGGACGTGCCCGGAATACCTCACCAGGGAGGCGTCCAGAAGGCATCCTTACTATGGACTGTAGATTATGAAATCCCTAAATTCATTGCAATTCAACATTAAAATATGTTCTTCTTAAACTGTTGGATTATTTGCTCACACAATTGTTCTCAAAGTGGTGAACCTCGCCCCATCCATGCTTGTGAACAATTGAGTCTATTGGGCATTGGTATTGGTATTGGTAATTGGGGATGGGTACAACCCAGGTGAGCGGGGGCCTCATAAGTGGGCCCATTGCTCTCCCCAAAAGATACTGGGCTTTAATCAAACCTTTTTGTTCCTTGGATGAAGGACACCACGTTAGAAACCCTCAGTGTTCTAAGCTTCTCGGGATCCACAAAGGGCTCTCCAAGAATTCTTTCCCTTAGATTACGCAGAGCCAAGCATTGGCCTAAGTAGTGCAAACAGGTCTCTGATGCAATGCCGCATCCATCACACAGACCATTGTCTTGGAGTCCCATCACCATTTTATGGCGGTTGAGCAGATTGTGCCCAGTTAGGACTCCAACCAGTGTACTTTAAGTATTCCTTGTCAAGGCAAGAAGGGATTTTCCAAATCCATGATTTGGGCCGTTTATCAGTTCCCATGCCTGTCTACAATCCGTCAGCTCCCTCCATCGGATTGAGTGTTGACGTCTGATCCATGCCTGTAGGGCAAAGTGGTGAACCTCGCCCCATCCTTGCTTGTGAACAATTGAGTCTATTGGGCATGGTATATTTTTATCCAGTTAAGACACTCACCTGTTTCCACTGAACATGTTCACCTGTGGAACACTCCGTCAGGTGTTTTTTGAGCATTCCTCAGCTTTCCCAGTCTTTTGGTCTTCCAGTCCCAGCTTTTTTGGAATGAGTTGCAGGCATCAAAAAAATTATCCATTTTAACGTTGGATATMTTGTCTTTGTAATGTATTCAATTGAATGTATAGGCCAAAAAGGATTTGCAAATCATCCTATTCTGTTTTTATTCAGAAGACAAAGTTTAAAAAATGTTTTATTGTCTCATGATATCTGATTTTTTTTCTTAACTAGGCTAAATTGTGTTATCTGATAAAGACCCAGAGAAAGGTTTGAACTATTCTTTTTCCTGTTACTTCTTAGATGTATACAGAAGCTCTGCAAGAGAACGAGAGGCTGAAGTCCAGATTGCAGGACAGCAAACAAGAGTTAGTCAAGATCCGTTCCCAGCTGGAAAAAGTCACTCAGGTAACAATTATTCAAGCAGCATATGTAGGGTGACAGCAGCTGAAACTGACAAAAACAAAAMTCATTCACTGAGAAAAACATATGGCACTTCAGAGTTCTGAACAAAATTCTGTTTAAATTCAGTAACATTTCACTGCTCTAACTTCCAGAGACAGGACAGGATGTCAGAAAGATCTGCTGTTCTTGAATCGGAGAAAAGGGTGTGTCTTTGATTTTTCAAATTATAACATTTGATCATGTTTGAGTTCATCTATAAAGTGTGAAACATCCAAATACTGTGTGACCTCCCGTTTTACTTATTTTTTTTTATTTACAGGAAAAACAAGTTCTTGAAAAAAAAGTGTCAAACATGGAGGAGGAAATAAAGGTCAGTAGTTTCAGACTCAAGCTGCTTTATTTGCCCCATTTCCCCCCAAAAGTACTAACAGCCCGTGAAGGTCCACACCTCTATTAAAGCTG